TTAAATCCTGTGCCACCAGGGCTCTTCAGTATTAGGAATAGGAGATAAACATATAGGCAAGGAAACAGAGCTGTTGACTGAATGAAGTCTAGGATGACCCTTGTTTTGTAACCAGCATCAGGGAACTGAACATTGGTTTGTTTTAATATATTTTATGTATCTGTGGGACAGGTAGAAAGAGATCAAGAAGGGCTTTGCTGAACCTACAAATTCTGCAGACTGGGGAATAACTATAAGGATACCCATTTAGTCACTTTCATATGTAAAGGGTAATAAACAATGTTGAGAACACAATGATTTTAAACCTGAAGCTAATATAATGAAGACAAACTTATCTTCCTAAGTATTTGGTGTCACTGTCAGAGACCTAACAGATTAGACAGGCTACAGGGATGTGTTGACAGATTTCTTGCAAGTGGATATGTGTGTTTCATGAAATATAACTGAATTTATACCTTTTATAGATTATTTTTATTACAGAGCACAAATTGTTAAATAATGCAAAATAAACTATAATGTAAATCAACATTGCTCGATAAAATAAAATCAGCCTTATTGCATAATTACCATCTTCATTTATATTTTTGTCCAAAGTCTTGAGCAAGTAAAAAATTATTACACTAACATACTTTAATGTTACATAAAACTAAAAAAACAAACAAAACATCTTAAACAAGCAGATAATTAAAGACTGCCTATTGTTATTAAAATACATGAATTACTACTACTTACAGTTACCATTTATTAAGTGATCAGTCTGTACTCAGAACTGTTCTAAGCATCTTACATGTGCTAGCCAAAGGATAAGGAATGCTGATGGCACTGGGGGTAAGTGTTGAACTGCTAATCAAAGGTCCCAGTTCAAACCCAGTGGCTGCTCCATGGGAGGAGGAGGTTGTTTACTTCCAAGAAGATTAGTCTTGGAAATGCTACTCTGTCCCTTATAGAGTCACTGGTTGGAATTGAGCTGGCAGCAACAGGCTGTTTCTCATGCTCATAGAAACCTTGTGAGGTAGGTATTATTATTTTTACCTCCATTTTTTGAGGGGGAAATTGAGACACAGAGATTAAGTAGCTTGCCCAAGATCATACAATTGAGAGATGGTAAGGCTGAGATTTGAACCAGGCAGTCTGACAAGACATATGATATTAAACTAAAGTAGAAATACTAGGAATTAAATGGACTAGGCAAAAAAAAAAAAAGGCCTAGGCTTCTAATTTACAATATAAATTTATAATTTATGTAACCATGACATACAGAATATAGTTACCCAAGAATATCACTATAATTGCTAAAATTAATTCTTGACCACTGTGTTGGCACATACACCAACAAGTAAAGATAAAGCTTACAAATAAAGAGAAACAAATAGAAGATAAAATATAAAAGGACTAACAGTTAAATCTTATGCTTGAGATTAATAGTTCCCTATGCATAGATAATACCCATGAAATTAAATAAAACCTACATGTAAGGAATTTTGGTTTCAATGCCCAATTTCTATTTTATTTCTGATTATTCTGCTAAAAAGGAGAGACTATACCTACATTTGTGTATATACACACCGCCTGCTAAAAGATTTGAGATATCAAAATTGTATTTAATTATTCCTATAAATAATCTGATTATCTGGCTTTAACCAGATAATCATCCAATTAAAAGAAAGAAAATTACCTTTTTCTCCTTTAAAATATCCCTTCAGTATTTTCCATGGACACCTTCTGGCAATATAGATAGAGGTAAGGCTCTGGATAACTAAAGGTGATTTTACTAACTGTGTCCAATTTTGAACTTTTTACACTTACAGAGAAACCAAAAGTCATCAACCTTTCCATCTGCAGTGACAAAAAAATCTACACATATGCCCAATTCTCAGAATGCCCTATTAAAAATGTATGCTTGATCATTATCAAAACTTGAGAAATTAAATAAAAGAAAAAGAAATTTCCAAAATTATTGCAAATAGAAAACTAACATGATGGTTACATGTTGACACGTTATATGTGTTTCAGGTAACCAAGTCAACTCATGAAAACTTTTCCAGTCTCTGAATATGCTGCTAGATAATATAATTCAGGATGCCCGCTGAAGAGGACTATTTTAACTTGGTGGATTCCCAAATGCTTGGACTTTGAAGTGAAAAACAAAGCAATTACCACAGCTTCATGAGGCCACACATTTTTATTTACGTTCATATTACCTGCTATTGATATTTGTATTTTCATGAATATAAAAAATACAATTTAAAGTTACTTTTTTTTTAGGGAAAGACAGATGTTCAAAATTTCTTTTTCACTATGCAAATGTTTATGGTGAAGAGTGATTTGGTAGTGCTGTTAGCAGTACATTTTCCAAAGACACGAGAGGGTCTGTATAGTACTGCAGAGCAGGGCTGAATCCCTTCTGCTCTAAGTATTGCACTCGGCCTTCGTCAATCAACAGTTTACAAAGATGCCCTATTCTCTTCTTTTCTCCAACAGTAAGAAACCTACATCAGATAAACACATATAAAACAATGTTAAAATTTTATAAACACTGATAAAAAATAATTTTAGTCACTTCTATTTAATGAGAAGCTCTTAAATAACCCACAACATATTAAGCACAGATAAGGCACTATATTCTGTGATTCTAAGATATATATCTATGACCGTAAAAAATGTGTATATAATTTACTCTAAAATTAGTTACAAGGTATGTTTTCATGAATAAATCCTTATAATGCTCATCTACAAATAAAGTACAATCATAATAAACCGTTATGCATTACAAAGTCATTACTTACCCAGGTAAACCATCAGTGCTCTCCTCTGTGACGCTGTGTCCGTCACCATCATGCTCTTCCCTGCCAACATTCTCATGATCTTTGCTCTTGGTGGTCCTATTTGAGACTTCCAAAGATGTTTTCCGCATCCCACAAGTTGCCCAACTACTCATTCGCTGGAAATAGTGGAATTCCACTGCTCCAAGGCCCAGAGCCCGGAAATATTCTTTGCCCACATAATGCCTCCACTCACACCTGTGGTGACAACAGAGTGCAATAACAATGCCAGCCACAGGGGTCCACTTCTCTGGGACAGTTTTCTCATTTCCTTCCTTGGCCAAAGTGTTCGTTTCTGTTTCTGCGGTTTCATTCTTTATGCGCTTGGCTAAAGGTTCTTCATTCCTTTCCTCACAACTGGCAGCATAGGTTTCAACCAAACAGCGTAATGCAAGATCTGCAAGCACAATTATGTGGTCCCCCAACCACATCGTCATTATAAATAAGTACTTGTCACATGTATTAAGCAATATGGTTTTAAAAAACAAAACA